ATAGCGTTAGCTGATTCAAAAATCAATTTACCTGGAATGCCCCTGCTTCCCAGCGATAGAACAGGAAGTATTGGTGGTGTAATTCCGTAATGCAAGGCTAACCATCGATGTGAAATTAGCACCCATGAATCTGTGCCCCAGATTCGCTTTGGTGCAACTATGGTTGCAGAACATAGACACTCTACGTTTGAATTGGGTTCCAAAATGAACAGTTTACTGCAATTTGCTTTGGACAATTCCTACAGTCATATTCTCATCGCAGTCGAATTTACGTTGCACGGCATGCAGACATCGGCGGTAGATAGCATGCAATTCAAAGCCTATTTGTAAGAGCTAATACTCCGCTACTGTTTCATCAGATTTCGAACCGCTAACAGGCTATCGATATTTGATCACTTGTCAATAAACAAAGAACTTCTGGTCTACGGAATAATTGCAAGAACACATTGGTCTCAGCGACCATCATACTGTTGGACTACGTATGTTGGGTCGAATAACCTGAAAGGGATGTCAAGCATACAAGGAAATTATCCGCATCTTTATGGTAAGCATCCTGGACCTTCTCAACTGTATACACCCAAGATATCGCCCAAATATGTTTACCGCACAATTAGGACACTAGTAGTGAATGTGCTGGAAAAGAAATTCCTCCATCATCAGAGGAGAGGCAAGTCAGTTGAGATGAGACGAACTCCGAACGTATGTTCTTGAGGGACACAGCAAGGAGAGCACAAACGGACTCCACGAATTCCAAAACCCGGAATGCCTACGTGGCACAGCATACATTTGCTTGAATTTGATCTACTAGGACAAGATGATATACTATCGCAAGTTAATGACTAGAACCGGAACGGTTATACAAGCATGTTAATTGTCTCAGTAAGGTGCAGCGCGGAATTCCAGCACTGGTCACTATTGACGGGTGCAGGCGATCAGCAATGGAAGGGGCCGATGTCTTGCGGTGCCATAAATCACATACGTTCCAGATTGTAATAGGTCCAATGAATCGCCTTTTTCTATTTTCTCACTGTTAGGTTAATTCAGAATCATCTTCATTGAAGTAGCTGTGTTAAAATAATAGTCGTCGCTGCGCGTTCACAGTATCCTGTTGTCGATAAGATTAGACCGAAGGCTTTACAGTCAGCAACCGGTGATCTGGCAGAACCACTGGCTATATTCTATCAGCGCTTTCCAGATGACAAGTTAATTCTAGCCGCATGGAATTGAAGGATCATCACTCGTATTCATAAGGGAGGTAGCCACACTGACCCAACCAAGTAGCGTACGATAACGCTGCTTCCTTTGATTGCTAAACCTATGGAATCAACCATCTCAAATGCCCCGATGCGTTGACTGGAAAACAACAGTATTATATCACCGGACCAATAAGGCTTTTGGCCAAACCGCTCATGCAATACGAACCTGCTATTTGCACGCCACAGCTGAACTGAAGCAGTTAGTTTTGAAGCATAAGTCGGTGGCATTTGCTCGGACTTCTCAAAAGCGCTTGATCGCTTTAACCACGGATGCTTTCACCATAAACTTCATATCTATGACAATTGTGGCCGGTACCTGTGTTAGACATGCAATTTCCTGCACGAATGGTGGTTGGAAGTGGGAGTACGGGAATCCCTCTCCGACGCAATTGAAGTGGAGTGCACTGTAACCCAAAGCATAGTGCATATGTCTCATCTATTCATAGTGTACCATAAACAGTGTAGCGAGGGCGACTACTCACGATTTCCATATCGTCGCTTATGATATCAAGATATGGCGATTGATTAGGGAACTGGAAGACCAAGAAGAGCTTCAGTGTGACCACAACACCATTTCGAACTGGTCACTTCAGAACATCAAACCATTCAATGTAGACAAATGTCGCGCTGTTCATTTACAACATAGGCATGACAAGGTGTACCGGCTTGAGCCACACAGATTACAAACAAATTCCTAAGAACGCGACCCTGGTGTGCGCATTCAAGTTGAACGTTACTCTTGAAAACAGTCAGAGGCGGCTGCAAAATAGGCTACCAGCACCTCGACCTGCTGCGCAGTGCACTCGGGATTTATGACCCATGAATATCTCCGTGGTGCACAACTCCTACTTGCGGCTTCGGGTTGAATACGCCATCGAAGATTGACAACGATGGCTGAAGGGCGACTTGGAGTTGTTGTAGTCACCACAGCGTAGGGCTGCAAAGAATGTCAAGTGTCCACGAAATCTGTTTTACTGAAAAGACAAAATTCACTGAAAGTTTGCAATGGACGCTATAGAATGTTATGCAGCGATCCCAAATTAGTGTAAGGAATAATGTTGGATCCTCATAAAATATTACACTACTTGCTGAAACAAAGCTATAATAAAACTTTCTGCGATAAAATTGTTGAAACAGGCTGAACAATGCAGTCGTCCGTAAACCTTTCGGAATTAATTTTTGCTTCGGGTTTGCCAAACCTGGAACTATCTTTCGAACTCAAACGTTTCCTCGCCCAACCCGGGTACATTCATAAAAACCGCTTAGATGTTGCCCTTGGATCCTAGCAATTTGTTGACTTGCAATATGTTAATCAATATCTGAAATTAAGTAATAGTTGAAATATCTTAATTATGCCCTTAAGCCGGATGCATAATTCACGTGAGGCCAAGGAGGCAATACATAAGCGAGCATTAACTGCCTCCGTTTGGTTTTGTTTGTTGCATACAATTCTCAGTTACACTACCATTATCCAACGGCGCATCCACTCGATAGACAGTCAAATAGACGACTCACGTATATTTTTCTGCTGCGGTACCTGTCAAGAGACTGCTATTCTAAGCGTGATGCATTAATCTTCCTTGTTCTGTTATTGCTAAGTTTCGCGCCGCAAAAGCAATAATAAACTACGGTGAAATAATGCGCAACATGTGTGTCAGACCGAGCACAAATAAACTCAATGTATTGCCATTAAAACCACATAAATGTGATTGAAATATGTCATGCTAATTCCTTGGCGATTTGAACGGAGTCTCGTCAAGTCTCAAATGCATTGAACCAGGTTGAAGTCAAATTTAGCTGAACCAGTGATTCACGGACAATGGTTTTATCTGCTTGAAAGCAGCGATTTCCTCGACGCAAGCAACTTGTTAACTAGAAGACATTGTGTTCTCTCGTCAATTAGCAAGTTATTCGATATGACCTTGATATGAACACGTAGAGCCATTTCAGTTACAGAGAAAACGAATGATTGTTGAATCTGATGGAATCTACAGAATTCAATGGTCATAGTAGCTATGTTGATTACTTGAGTAAACGCAATAGTCGGATCACTCTTCTAACTATTCCAGAGAAGTTTGCCATCACACGGAACAGCTAAATCATCGACAGGTTCCGATTTTTATAAAGTCATTTATTTTAATGTAAATCACTAAATCACACTTGTAGTTGCCAGAAACAAGCAAAATGGTTTTATTCAACATAGCCATCGAAGTATTGTACGTGTTGAAACGGTCTGTTTCGGTATGGAGACGTGCTGCATCGCAGCGCTTACTTAAACTAAGGAATGTTAGCATCGGAAGATTCACACGCGATCGTTTATGAGAATGTTGAAGCAGCACGTAGTTTTACATCCAAACAGGTCAACATAGGTTTCGATGATTGTCTAAAGTAAGAAGGTATGCATTCCCATGTAATTTGGTCATCTTGTACTTACTCTCCAAGTAACCTACTTAAAGAGTTGGTAGCCGAAATTTGAAGGAATGCGCATCGTTGTTCCTGTGAGATATAAGAGCTCCTGAAGCTGTCTCCGACAGAGTTTCAGGCCATCTGTTTGGAAAAATGAACAGGCTACAGTGGATTGCTAGTTACATCTTACTTTGGTGGTCATATACAGTGCGTACAAGAAGCAAAATGATCGGTCTCATCCACTCTGGGTACCATCACGAACCTTATAGTGAACAGAATATGTTTCGTCAAAAAAGTTTGTTGTCGGAAAACAAAGAGAGGATTTTGAGTCTCAACCCAGCGACGATAAATGCCTTACAAAATACGACAAATCCAAAGGTAGGCTAACCGGATGAATTCATGTGGCAAACACAGTCATTTATTTTACAATTTTCGGGATGAAAGTGCAATGACCCATTGACATGCACTCAGATTTTCAGCTGGAAATGCCGTTTACACTAAAGCTACATACATTAAAACTTGCACAGAACGATGGCAACCCAAATTCGTCTAATAAATGTCATCCCCATTACTAAATGAAAATGCTGTTGAACTGCTGAGACGCCTCCATAGCTTAGCAAAACTAATTGTGTATATTGGTGATCAATCAGTGTGCTTGAGGGATACCGCCTGCTGACATCTTGGTTCGACTTTTAGCACGCTATTGTCGGCCAACTTTGCTAAGTTAAAGTTTCCCTGGTGTAACCAGTTTCTACAGGTGGTGTTTACAGAGGTTACGACATAACTGCTGCAAACCATACAGCAAATAAATATCTCAATCCAATATGTGCAGATGCAGCACCGTAGCAGATTGGCACGAATGGTTACTAAATGCCTTGTGGGCTAGCAACAGCAAAGTACAATATTTTATCCAGTTGCTTATTTTGTTACAACTGTTTATTGTAAGGCTTGTTCATCTAACCCACGAATTTAATAGTATTTGTTGTCAGTCGCACAGCAATTTCCACCTCAGGCTGGGTGATGGAATGCGAATAATTCATCTCTGATATGTTTCTGTTGGTAATTCACCCACCGCAACTATTCTTCCTTTATGTGCATTCCTATTGGGTTCTCCGTTAACAGATACAGTCAACTGCTTTCAAACATATGGAAGAATATCAACAGATATCTTCAGAGGCTTTCATTGTTAACGTGGATCATTACAGCAACTGGTCGAATTGGTCCAAGTGTAAGCGACACAATTGTGTTCAAACGCGCTATCGAGAGTGCGTCGACGATTCTTGGATGAAAATTCATCGCAATAAATACGGGAAAAGCAACTGTACTACTAGGTTGCATATGGAAGTGCGCACGTGCAGAAATATGGCGCAATGTAGCCCACCTGGTAAGTGTTCAACTAATATGAACCCCACACAATAAATCCATTTAAAATCGGACATAACTATAAATGAAATTCAGCATGCCACTTATAAATGTCTCCTTATACTTAAATGTGTTGCCATGGTGTGTAAATGGCAGTGTGGTTCAATTGCCTTGTCGTATCCTAATAATGTGCACTAACCAAGCTATTTTTACGAGAGACGCAATTACGTACTCACTTTTCGCAATCAGCATCCAAAAATTTTATCTACATGCCATACCATAGAGCATATATGAAGCCTGTGATAAACGAGTGTCCACGATTTGTCTACTGTTCCAGGATTACTGCATCTGAGGCGGTAAAATTTCGCTCGTTTTACTAACCAAATTAAATGGAAGGGAAACCAAGTACATATGTCCAAAGTCAACTAGCAACCATAACTCTAAATGGTACTTGGCAAAAATATGTAATATAAGGTTTTGTGTTTGTTAAAGATGCATCATTTAATCCTGTATTTTTCGTGGCAAGCTGGATAGAAATATCAGATCAAGTTGGCCACTTTTCTGTGATAAACTTTTCTGTGATAAACTTTGTACATTAGCATCCTAACAGAATTGCGCTTCCTCTTAGATGTTAGCAAAAGCACGGCTTGTGATTCACTTAACGGTTCGTGCATACGAAAGTATTCGACGAAATTTGCATGGCAAAAGTCTAGCTTCTTTAAAACGATTTGATAAGCATGATGCGCTGTCAACTGAACAAGCGAGGTCAAGCATAAGAGTCATGTTATTTCACAGTACCAGGCGCGAATGCAATACGCATTCTGACTCAGTAAATGTTTCTATAGATTCCCAGAGCAAATACAATTTTAACAGAGCCCTTTCCCTACCGAGATCTCTCAGACTAGCAACCAAATACTTGTGCTTATCCTTTCACTCAGCAATGCTGGCAAATTGTGGCGTTCGACCGGAGGATATGGGAGCCACAGCAAATCGACTGGCTCGTTCAAGCATCAAGCCAATCCTATGGCCGTGGGCTGTGAGTTTATTCATTGCTGTTATAGAATATGCGTGTACCTTTTTACATCCAGTCAAAACACTTCATACATGATTGTGCCAGTGGGGGTTAACCTGACCACTGAACTCGGAGTGCAAACAGACACAAGCAAAAGTGCACACGTTAGCAAACGGTAGCATATTTATTGTACACAGCTAAGGTGAATGAAAAGCTAAGTTGGACCAAATAATAATCGCTTTATTAGTGCACTGCTGCCTACCCATTTGAGCCCCGATCAAATGAAACAGTGCAACATTGGTTGGATATGGAGAAAAAATCAAGGTTTGACAGGTCCGGTTGGGAGGTCTGTGTGAATTACGTAACTTCGAATAAAAATTACACTAAATGAAACCACGAACCTGTGGACTCACCATACTATCCACGTTAACATATATGTACACGTTTATCCAGGTTTCTTGGAGTTGATGAGCCCAAGGTGGGTTTTTGTTTCCACGCCACTCGATGACCAGCGTTCAAATCAAGAGACGCGAATGATTAACGAACAATGAGTTTTCACGTGTGAGAATCATGTGCTTGACAAGTCCCGTTGGATGATAGGAGTGAAAAGTGGAATTGAAAGGATCATCGAATAAGTAACTCGTCATTTTAATCCTCTACCGGTTTAAACGCACTGCTGCATGTCGATTGTGCATCGTAGAGACAATTTTTAAAATGGGTAGCGTGGGCGCAGGTATAACAAAGGTCGGAAGAGCATTCCATGGTTGAGAAATTCGAAAAGATAAATAGTTCCGGCGGCAGTCCAGCCGACCGTAATGAGTGGCCAGTTTCAGGTGATAACCAATCAATTTGGTGTTGCGGGTAAGTTTAGGGATATGCCAGCATCAATGACCAGGCTTTTTATGTTCTAGTACGCCAGAGTGAGGTTGCATCGTAGACAGCGATAATTTCCCCTGCAGAACCTTAGGGATTTTGTTCGCTGGGGTATGGCAGCTGGGACAATCCCTACAAGTTTTCGGTTGCCGTTCACTGTGCGGTCTCCATTTCAACCAGATACGATTTAAACAGTGTTGCCAAGCACGAATCGCATACTCAACATAGGGTCTCAAATTGACGTTGAGTATTTGGTGGAAGATGGAGGGCCCGAACCACCCAGACATTTCCGTATGAGACCAACATGTTTTTCGCGGTGTTGATGTCTGCGTGGCCTGCGCCGAACAGTCGAGATCGTTTTGCATCTCCACCCCATGGTCGTGCTTATGTGAGGCGGTCTTAAACAAGTCGGCTTCACGTTTTTATGCGTAAGAGGGCTAGTGGCGTACACGTACAATTTTGCACTTGCCGGCGTTACACGGAAGTACATTTGTTTTTGACCATCTAAGAGCCCGTTCATGGTCTCATTGAATCATATTGTGATATTCCCGACTACCAATCGCCCGCCATATCTTGATCTCATCCGCAAAAAGCAGGAAATTCCTTATGATTACAAGCACTAAGACGCTGATGAATTCCAAAGTAAGCAGGGCCCCAACACTGACCCTTGTGGAGCACCAGTCTACGTCGATAAGATCAGAAAATGAGTTCCGAACCCAAATCTGGAGGCGCTGCTGAAGGAGAATATGTTTGATCCATCCACGGACAGGTCACTTAATGCCATATGTTTGATATTTTGTGGAAGGATTCGATCATCTAAGCAGTCGTCTGCTTTGGGTATTTGGGATACATGACATAATGTTCGGTCCCGTTGTTGGCAGTTTGGATTCAACAGCCACCCTCAATCAGTAGATTGGTTTTACATGACGGACGCTGTAGGAACCCGGACTGCTCCTGTGTTATGCTGTTAGATCTTTTTAGATAGCCCATCAGTGCCTCAGAAACGGTCGACTCTATCCCCTTTGATAAAACCGGGTGTTGCTGGGCTTTCCTTGTATACGATCTTTCGTTGAATAAGCCAGATATTTTTCTAGTTCAATAGCTGATAAACTGAAGGCCAGCCGCCGGAAGTTAAAAGGTTAAACAGACGGTCACATGGTTTCAATGCCAACATATTGTAATACTCCGTGAATTTTCCAATTATAATGGACCGTACTCTTGCAGATAAAACAATGCTTAAATTGGAAAACACTGGTTTGGCAGAGTTATGTCCCTCAGCAAGTTATTTTTGTTTGTGAATAGCATAATTAATTGATTCGTAAATACGATATTCGCTAAGTTTTGCTTTGGTAGGTTTGGGTTAGATAATAACCTAGTCGTCATGTTCTAGTCACGTGACTAAATAGTTACAGGTGTTGTGACACATGCCACAGGTTTGATGCCCCTGAGTTTACGTCTCTGTCCACTATATTACGTAATTTATTTAAAGTCAATCTAAATAAATATAAGCATTGTCCGCCTACATTTATGCATTTGCGCGCTTGTAAATGCAAAACAGCTCGCTTTTCCAGCCGGAACGAACTAGATGCGCATTGGTCCGGTGGAGAATTTCCCTGAACTGGACGAGCCCGTGATCTTAATGAACCTTGTGTCACCTTTATTGTCGTTTCGGGTGAGAACGCTACGGATCTTTCTAACTTGGCTATGACACTAAAGCTAGGTGCTATTCAACATTTGTAGCTCCCACGGCGCTCTGTTCAGAGCTATAGGAATGTACCAACTAGGAAAGTTATGCAATTGCACTGCTAGATTAGTTTATATCCAATAGACGACAAGTTAATGATGTTATTGACTACGGCGAGGGCTTTGAAACGAATTTACCACCACTGTCATTAAATTTGTTGATAACACCTCTACTAGAACGTTGCAGTTCTCTTAGGCGGTCGCATCTTAGCTTAATGGGTCCAACATTAATGTGAGCATGCAACCAAAGTTTTGCAACATCACTATAATTGCATTGAGAAACTCTCTTCACTGTTAAATATTAATAAAATGGTCAGCTTTCCGGATATTTTATCCTATATTTCTGGACAGGGTTACGAAAATGTGTGTCATGTTTATGAGACAGCGATAAAGTTCTACTTCCAGCAAGCATGATACTTTACATTGTACCCTAAACTTTTCTTGACTATTCTTCGAGTTATTTACAATCTTGTTACCTACACAAAAGAGCCGTTTTACTTACAGAGTACGGAGTGGAGTGTTTCGGTATGGCTCTCTCCCATCCCTGCATTCCACGACCAACGTTTTCGCCTTTGTTTTAGACTCATCAGGTAGAGATAGCAGAGCTGGGAGTGGAACTCGGCGCATAGTGCTTGGCAGGTATCGCCATGATGACTATGCTATTGAGCTCCGCGAGCAGTGTTTGACACAGCGGAGGGATTGATTCGCGGTTGAAATTACCCGCAATACGGGCTAGGCCAGATGATGAATAAGCACTGCAGTCAGGATGAGGGTTGGTTTGTTAAATGCGCCATGGAAAACCCAGAATCCAAAGTGTCATTTTATAGTGAAGATGGTTATGCATGATTGAGTAAGGTTAGCTCTGGGGTTATGCATTGGTATTAACGCAATTATTTCCTCATTTTAGTAAGGTAGTACACTTAGCAGAAAAACCACTTCTAACGCGGGATAGATTGACTTGCAAAATGGCTTAGCACACTAGATTGTTTCGGTGTCTATCTGGAATAATGACAAGAAGGAAGCATCTGTGTGGTATTCACCGGTCGACCTTAAACACAACAAGCAAACAGCAGGCTTCCGCCACCAGCGAACCTGACGACCTCTACGTTGTTGCGATAACACAAATCATCCACATTATTTGACAACATGGGCGACAATATAATTGGTTTATTTAAACATAGGAACTAATTCTTTTTAAGGTACATAACAGCTGCAGTGGGTATTGGAAACTAATATATCGATGACACGCCATTGTCCGAATTCTAAGGCCCCGCCAATGCACGTGCATAATATCGGTTTTGTGTTGTTCTCGAAAATAATTCGATTACAAATTGGTTAGGCAACTTCTAGTAGGTTATCAGTTCCTCGGGAAATTTTGTTTTCAATATTGCTTGTTTCCAGGTGTCTGTCGGTCGAGGATTTAAAAGTCGAAAGCAGCTGTGGTGCAATGTGGTTTCCTGCGAAATTTCCTCGGTCTAGCAGTTGAAATTGTAGTCCCAAAGCAGTTGTTGGATTCTATTGTCAGCGCAGTTGAAGACATAATTTGCGATATGTCAACCTTTCCATGGATCTCATCAGTCGCTTGCACAATTAAAATGGAATTCATAGACAGTAATCTCCAGGGGAAAATTAGCACACCAATCAAAATGTGAAAATCAAAACCACGGTAAACTAATTGATTATCTCAGCGCACACTTCATCACAAGTCAATTTGGGGTGGGCAGTACCTCCACTCTTCCACATTTGCCCCGGTAGCATACAAAGGTGGCCTAGTGAAAACGCTGTTCTACAGAGCCAGACGGATATACCGCCCCGAACTGTTACAAACCGAAGAAGAATTTTTGTTCAAAACATTGGTGTCAAATGCGTATGCTAGAAAGTTGCTTCCGATCCACAGCAGGCCTCCCAAGAAGAAAATACCGGTGTTAACAGCAGAGAAAAAGGAATGCTTATTTGTTATTGCCGTTCAAACAGACCATGTATCAAATGATATCGGACTTAAAAACCGGTCCACCCTTACGCGCACCTATGAGACCACCCAGTTGCAACTCATACATACAACGCGTAGCCTTGTTCTTCATGACCGTCAGAGCAACTCATCAGTCAGCTCGTCCTCTCTCGTCGTTTATCAGTTCACCTGCGGTTGCGGTGACATTTACATAGGTAGGACTGACCGTCAGTTAGCTCAGAGGGTAGATGTACATGTGCCGAGGTGGTTGCAACAACTGATGGCGCAACAAAACGGAGTGGATCCGAGGATGAACCGGAGCCCAGCATCATCTATCCCCAAGCATCCCTTGGCAACTCGAGATCAGGTGAACCCGGAGACTGCATTCAAGATGTTATTACACAACAACCATCCGATAATATTGGCAATTAGTGGGGCATTGCTAATTAGGGCTTATCAACCTGTGTTGTGTGCTCAGAATTTATTGAGACAATCGATTAGGTTAGCATGGTTTTGATGTTGAAATTTTGACTGATGTGTTAATTTTTCCCTGTAAATAACTGTCTATGAATTCCGCTTGTATTGTTTTTGCGCTTGAGGGGAACAATCGAAATGTAGACATATGGCAACTTATGTTTTCTCACTGCTCTAAAGAAATGGCTGAAGGGGACCGACTGTTTTGCCTTTCTGAATTCTATTGCGTATAGTAGGTAAGGCTTGCATCTCTGTGGTGACTTAACCGAGTTGATTCTAGGATACACAAATTGCGTCTATTTTTGGTGCGAGTCGGATATGCTAGCAAAGGTTTTGCAATAATTGTCAATAGAATAGACACGCATACATATTTTAACAATTGGAAGGGAGAATGTCCAACACCCAGCTATGGTAACTGCTCATAAAATCAAGCCACCACCGTTACACATCATACTAATTTTAGTGAAGAACCTTGTGAAATTAATGGACTAAATATCATCGGCGTACTGATATCAACGTCATAAAATTCCCAAGACATCAAGTCAAAAAGACAAAGGATGGCTTTTGTGGGTCTTCAGACTCGACAGCTAGTTAAAGACGACTATGTGCTGTCCCAGGTGCAGTGTGGGCATTGAACTTCCCGGCTGTCCAAGCTGAGGAGGAGTGTTGACTTAGGGGCCCCCACCCGGAGCCTTTGGTCTAAAGACCTGATTCGCAAGACAGCGAGGTGATCCATGAAGTCCGTTGACAGTCAAATGGCTCATTAACCTTTTTTGTGTTCAGAAGCAGTCCACAGAGAAGCCGGTTGCCAGCGAGAGGTTGTTCATCCGCTCTCCGTTAGAGCGCGCCGCCAGTTTTAGGGGTGAGGGGTCAGTGACCTTTTAGCCGGAACTTTGCATCCATTCAGCTGACTCACACTTCCTCCTTTTTGTTATTGTTAGTCATGTGTTGTGGCAAGCTGCCAAATATTTATTGGGGAGATGTTATATATATATATATATATTGCATGTATATATGTATATATAATAATGTATGTGCCAAGGTGTATGTGACAAGGTGCCTACCTGTCTATTACCCACTACCTCGTCCATACTGGCTCCAGGAGACAGTTGGTCGTTGCTGGAGGGGACGGGGTGCGCGGTCCTTGTGGCCGTGTTAGGCTCGAAGAGTGGTTCCATGCAGTCAGTGTGGAGCGGACTACGGTCCAGCCACCGCCTTTTGTGCGCTTGATTCCCCAAATACAGTGTGCTTGTGTTTGCCTGTGAAGGAGTGTGGGCCGGCTCCGTTGATGAAACGTGGTTCCCATCCGCATGCCTCCAGGTCTTATTACTTCGGGTTTACACTGGATATGGGGTATGTGGTTGGAGCTGTGGGTGGCGCAGCGCAAGCCATCGATGGTCCCTCTGTAGGCGCAGGCGTCCTGTGGCTAGCCACAGTGACAGGCAAATCCGAAACCGGTAGCCGCCAACCATGTATGTGCCTCATGCTGAGGCTGATGTTGCATTCTTGATGCTTCTTCACCGCAGTTGGGCTAAACCAACTTACACTTAAACTAGGTCTTTTTAAGCTTTATAATTTTCATTCCACTTTATTTGGTTTGTTTTGCCTACCTGAATAATGTTCTATTAACTGGCCACGTTGCTTACGCTAATTGCGCTTATCTTCGGTAATTTTGTTGCGTTTGTAGCATTTTTGGGTAACTTGTGGACATTTCTTACTTGTCGCGGATTCGTTGCTAACGAACTTACTTCATATGTTTATTTAGGGAAGAGTTATGCCACCGTATCTGTATGCATTATTGGATTTATTTTATTTCAGCTTGTCGTTTAAAGTGAATGGCTGTTGCTTGATATCCCCGGTGTGGCTGCGCTTGATGTGCATGTTGACAAGGTGCCTACCTGTCTATTACCCACTACCTCGTTCATACTGGCTCCAGGAGACAGTTGGTCGTTGCTGGAGGGGACGGGGTGCACGGTCCTTGTGGCCGTGCTAGGCTCAAAGAGCGGTTCCATGCACTCAGTGTGGAGCGGACTACGATCCAGCCACCGCCTTGTGTGCGCTTGATTCCCAAATACAGCGTGCTTGTGTTTGCCTGTGAAGGAGTGTGGGCCGACTCCGTTGATGAAACGTGGCTCCCATCCACATGCCTCCCGGTCTTATTCCTTCGGGTTTACACTGGATATGGGATGTGTGGTTGGAGCTGTGGGTGGTGCAGCGCAAGCCATTCGTGGTCCCTCTGTAGGCGCAGGCGTCCTGTGGCTAGCCACAGTGACAGGCAAATCCGAAACCGGATGCCGCCAACCAACCATATGTATGTATGTATATGTATGTATAGGTATACATATATATATATATACGTATATATACATATGTATATATAAAGATGGACGTTTCAACAGTTCGCTGCAGGGTGCTGGGAAACAAGCTTGGAGTACTGCTTGCTTGCTAACATTTTAAGAAGGGATAAACACAAAGCCATACAGATCTAGTGGAAGACATGCTGAAGAGTTATCCGAAATTGGACATAACACGTAAAAAGGTACTCTTTTTCAGTTTGACCTTGATTTCCACCTTTAAAATTGCGTTATGGCTAAGGATGAACATAGCGAAAGTTTGGACCAAGAAATATCGATGATAAAACGATGTTACTGTGGAAATTGGCCTTCTATCATGTTGGCTGAATGCTGCTGGACCTTCGCCAGAAATGCTCTTACCAACAGGCAAGGAAACCGATGAAGTACCCTAGGACCTAATTTTGGTTTAAATGTATTAATCTTATTACATAAAATCCATTGTTATGTATTTAGCAATGTAAACGGTTACTGTGGAGTACAAAGAACCTAGACCCAATCTTGAGATTTGACCCATATTGTGGTTCAGCACACAGACACTAGAAGGATTGGCTAGTTTTATTTTAGTAGTGTGACTTGTAAACATTTTTTCCGGTGCAATTACCGTTCATTGACTTTATAACGGACTGATCTATAGTGATGTAAGGCTAGTTTTCCCTCCATTTACAGGTTCGTTTGTCGATACCATCGACAGAAGAGAGCGAAGAAATTTTGTGCGGTGGAACGTTAATTGGTCCTCAGTGGATTGTCACCGCTGCGCATTGCGTCACCGAATGGGTGGATAAAAACTCGCTTATGGAACCAAAACAGAACGCCGAAGTTGTTAATGATCCTATATCTGCATTTGTGGGTGATCTTGACATCCAAACGGGAGAAGAGTATTTTCAAGTATACATGATACAAAGTGTAATCTTGCACCCGGCTTTTCAACCGGGTAGAGAGAACAACGGTGCCGACATCGCATTGCTGTACATGAAAGAGCCAGTTGCAGATTGTAAGTCTCAACATGATTTGAATGCATCATGAGATGAGGTTGGGTCAACAAAATTAGCTTGAGCGACGCCTTTGCACCATGTATAATTCAAAAGACACGGTTGCCGAGTGTTGTAGTTACTTTTGTACTCAAAAATATTTGATTTGTATGTCGGTTCCGATGCTTCCTAAAAGATGTTTACCCGGAAGCTACCTTTCTGATCGCTTTTCACTTGAGGTTACAATGACTAGAGTGCTTCATGTTGACATAAATCAGTTGCAAAACCCGTGGTCAATACAAGTCAGGTAATGCTAAGTATGCCTTGTGTATTGAACCACTGGCAATTCATTTTCATGGTCAGCTCGATTGACCGCAAATACAGCAGCATGGCAGCAGAAATATTTTAAGCAATATACACTGGTCGCGCATCAGTTTTATTTAAACTAAACATAGGCATAATGAAGATAAGATACTATTTTTAATGCTTACTTATTATTGAAATTGAGCCTCTTGTGCTCTGAATCGACAGCAAAACTATTACTATTTCTAGATGGAAATTGGGTATTGCCCACCCGAAAACACTGCACAACCACGACGCGTTTCGATGTAATTTTTCATCTACTTTGAATACGGTCCCAGCGATCGCAGTGACTACGGTTCATTTCAATGTGAATCACAGTCTATTAAATTGAGGTTGCGTGTCGCAATCCAATCACACAACGTGTAATCCAAACTTGACCCTCCAATTAATCATCTACCGTTGTGACAAAAAGCATTGCCCATCGTGACCCGGTAGCCAAAGGGGTAGTAGTGTTGGCTGCTATTCCAATGGTCCTGAGTTCAAATCCTGCTGTCTCCACCTGATGAGATGAAAAATTACATCGAAACGCGTCGTGGTTGTGCAGTGTTTTCGGGTGGGCAAACCCAATTTCCATCTACTTTGAATACGGTCCCAGCGATCGCAGTGACTACGGTTCATTTCAATGTGAATCACAGTCTATTAAATTGAGGTTGCGTGTCGCAATCCAATCACACAACGTGTAATCCAAACTTGACCCTCCAATTAGTCATCTACCGTTGTGACAAAAAGCATTGCCCATCGTGACCCGGTAGCCAAAGGGGTAGTAGTGTTGGCTGCTATTCCAATGGTCCTGGGTTCAAATCCTGCTGTCTCCACCTGATGAGATGAAAATTACATCGGAACGCGTCGTGGTTGTGCAGTGTTTTCGGGTGGACAATACCCAATTTCCATCTACTTTGAATACGGTCCCAGCGATCGCAGTGACTACGGTTCATTTCAATGTGAATCACAGTCTATTAAATTGAGGTTGCGTGTCGCAATCCAATCACACAACGTGTAATCCAAACTTGACCCTCCTATTAATATTTCTCTAATTGTGGGTGTCAGATATCGGTTTCTCGAATCAATGGACGATGGAGATGCATTATTAAATGCAAGCCATGCATACTGCGGTAACTGTGCTTTTATCAGCACAAGCCAAACTTGGTCTGCATCATGAAAAATATGGCGAAATGAACCCTTACTGCATTTATGCCAATAATCATACAGCTACAATTTTAAAGTTGTATTAATGCTTTCTGTCTTACACGCTTGCGCTAAGTCCGTGGGGGCTTCACAAATGTTTTGAAGACTCATGTATATTGAAATACTGTGGTTAACAGCGCTTCCATTTATTTAAGTGATGGTTATCTTGATGTGTTCGAACTGTCAAACGACATTTCCCCTATCACATACGTGCACATTTTATTGACGGCGCAGATTTACTGTGATGATTATTGAATAATTTAATGAGCCGGCTCAGCTGTCTGTAGATTCGCTCATTGCAGATAACCTTTAAATGGGAAAGCTGTGGACAGTGGGTACTGAGGTTTATACCTCAAAAATGTTTGTCTACTTTGATTAACCATCAAATATGGTCTTGATTTTTGCTTGAATCTGGCTTCGAACCATAGATTTGATATTTACTAAGACCTTAATTTAAATCTGAACTGAGAAATGTGTAACTGTTTGCTTTTGCACAATTTGCTGAGGCTGACTGCAGCTAACCGGTGATATCTACATGTTAACAATTCGATCGCTGTCAGACTTCAGAGTACGGGCCCTAAATTGTTACTTCTCATTCCTAAATGAAGTGTGACTCACTTCCCGTGCGACAGTGCTTGATTCAACCTTGATTAATATGTGACATTATCAGTGGGACATCGCCAACACGCCGGTACGCAGTACCACCACTATGCTGCCACAAAGCAACAATTAGTCGCGCGTACACTAAAGTTATGGGTTGGTCACCTGGTACGCTCGCACGCTTCAACCGGCGTCTTCGGAAGGTTTGGAATCCATTAACGCTATCGATCGGTAATCGCTGCATGAAGACATTAAAACCCAATCTGCATTTTTCTGTTTTCTCATGCACGTTTGTGCACATATTGCCTACTACTCCAGCACAAGTCAAATCCACAAACACGTAGGTTCCTTTTGGTAGGTTTCTTGTTGTGGTTTATAATGAGTTGTTAGGAGTTTGGTATAAATCAGATAATTCATCATGGTCACTCTCAGTCGGCAGGCTTTGGCAAATCTGGAAAAGCACTAGACATCGGTGTTTCGATCTTTTGGGTCTCTTCAGTGGTTTGCCATCCAGCCGGCATTTACATGGTACTGCCCCCATGAAGTATGGATGTCAGCAATTAGTGCCCCTTCGCCATCGGTGACAGGCGCGGACCTGCGTGATTGACAGTTGAGTATAATATAGCCCGGTTCATTGTCCACGGCCATGGCGGTTATGAACTGTGCAGGGGACAGCAGCTGGCCCCACAAGCTAGGATCTTCCGCATGATGCCTTGGCACGGCACAAAGACTTAGCTTCTAACCCGACAGATATTTATCTTACTAAAGTATAGTTGAGATTTTGGTATAATTCAGTTAATTCATCATGATCACCTGCTGTGTTTAACACCATGGCTTGCGGTTACCAGTAGTTAGTGCTACTTCGCCATGGGTGACAGACGCGAACCTGCGAGAACGTACCTGTGATTTTAGCAGGTAGTGGCTTCCCATTGGTATTTAAGCGTGGCTTGCTTAGTTTATTTGGATTACTGCGTGTTTGTGAATGTTCGTTTGCTTAGACTCAAATGACAGCACTTCGATCTATCGCAGATCCGGAGATTAATTACGCCTGCTTGCCAAATGAGCACAATCTTTTGGAAACCGGTGCTGAATGCCACGCTATTGGATGGGACACCGGTCACGTTAAGAATGTACAGAGCTTATTAAGCCGCGCAGGAAACCCAAGCACTACACATCATATACGTCAGACAAATGACATTGAATGGACCCCGCAAATACTACGCCAGGTCAATCTGACTGTGGTGATGCCCCAGGAATGCAAGAAACATTACAAGGATCTTCGCGAACAGATGATTATTTGCACAGTTTCAAAGGGAAAGGTAAGTAAATGCTGGAAGTTTAGGTTGAAGTGTATATTTTCTCCAAAGCTATACGAATGTATGTATTAAACAAATCATCCGGGTGTTGCTCAGTAGGTTAGTCAATTGTACTTCAAAATATTTATTATTCTGCTGTCATTTTAACTGAGATATTGCGGAAAGTAAGACACCAAATTTAGAATAATGTTTTATCGTTAACTATTCAACTATAGCTGCAAACGCACGTAAACTGGTGGGAGGGAAATTTTCCCCAGGTTAAGAACAACATTGCGAGACAGGTGGCTAGCAAATTGAACCGGATTGTGTTAAAATATGGTGCTCATAATAAAGGTAACAAATAAAGATAGACCCCATTTGACTTCGAAGTTCAAAAACGCAATATAGTGTCGCACACTATCCTGAAACTTTCTGTAAACGTTAGCTGTTCAAGTCTTGGAGTAACTAAGAATATCTATCGATGCGCAACCTGGTGTGTTGCGAGCATAATCTGTAAACTCAGATAATCAAGTGGTAATGCGCACTAAACCTCTGTGGATGAGCACTCGGAAATGGTGCCTTTGGAAGATACGCCATAGTTTTTGTATTCCATGTTGTAATGTTGAATAGTTAAGCAATCTGGCTTTTGTGTGGAAAACACCCTATAACATTGACAAATTTTTCATTTAGGACTCGGTTATTGTATTTTACTGATATAGTTAAGGAGAAAATAAAAGACATAAGTGGATAGCCCCAAAGTCCATATAGGATTTATTGATGCTCCAAACTAATTGCGCAAGCTATTTTCACAAAGGATTTTGTGTGTTCGGGCTTTGCTTCTTCTTGTAGGACATCAGTACTATCCCACAAGCGAGCTCGAGAAATAACCTGACCTCAATTTGTTCTGATTCGCAATAAATCGGTGCTCAAATCTGCTTGCGTACTTTTAGGCATTTAGGCGCATTATCATTACTGGACATATTAGAAGTTTCGATTGTAGCCACTCATTAGTAAAAGAAGGCAATCTCGCGATTCCTGGGTGTATTATGAGAGAATTGCTTGTACTAGACGGACAATGGCCAAACGACTTCAGACATGTTGAATATGCATAGACACCCTAAACACCGCATGGATAATTGCGGTCTACATAGTATTACGTTTTACTTATTGCAGAAATCGTGCCCCGGTGACAGCGGCGGTGGCTTATACTGTCAGTTACCGAAAAAGAACGGATGGTTTATTGCTGGCGTTGCAAGTTTCGGAGATAGTCATGGTTGTGGATATTTTCCGGGAGTTTACACTTCAGTCGTTGCCCATCAAGACTGGATTTGGCGGGAAATCTCCAAAAGAAAACGGAACAAGCCTTCGAAACATAGACAGTTTACTGGACATTTTAAAAATGTTAAGCGCGGAAGCAGGTGATGTGCGCAGAAACTTGAAAGATACCATTTCTTTTGTTAATTTTATTTCCTCTTAATACTGAAAACAAACGTTCTGGCGAAGTTTAAACGATTACACAAGCGGACACAAGGTCTGGGATGATCGCACTTGACAATTTACTTGTTAGTCAAATGGAATTAGTTCATTTTCGCCAAATAGTTTCGTTATATTC